TGCCGCACGGGTTCGAGTGAGGTTTGTGGTGAAAGAATCAGCCCGTGACATTTGGTATCAGAGCCAAGGTTCGGAAGTGATAATGTCGAGCTCCAACCTTCGTTCCGAAGTACTTGGTGCGGTGGATCCGAAGGATATTCTAAGGCAACGTAGGGATAAATCTCGCGACATCATGACGACGTTAGAGGCACGGTTGGCTAAGGTGGAGCTTACCGTGGCGGATAAGATGGAGGCTTTCGACGAGCGCATCGAGAAGTTGAAGTTGAATTCCGCCATTGATGTGCTACAACAAGGGATCACATCCGTACGTGAGGAGTGTGCGTTCTTACGGAGCCAAGGAGAAATGTTCCTAAAGGAGATGACTGAATCTAAAGAAAATTTTAGCCAATATAATGCTATCTTGGCAACTCGAGGTATGATCTCACAACCTTTCATGGCTAAAGATACTCCTAAACCGAAGCCATATAAAGGAGATAGGGGTGCCCGGGAGATTGATAACTTCCTATGGAACATGGAAGTATACTTCAATGCTGCCGGATATAAGGATGATGTAGCCAAGCTCCAAGCCATACCTCTCTATCTCGAGGACATTGCTACGTTGTGGTGGCGTAGACGATGCGAGGATATGAAAAAGGGTACGTGCTCCATCACTACTTAGGAAGAATTTAAGGCAGATCTGAAGTGCCAATTCTACCCAGAGAATGCTGAGGATGAGGCCCGAGATAAACTCCGTCGCCTTACTCAAAAAGGTTCAATTTGTGATTACGTGAAAGAATTTTCAAAATTGCTGCTGAAGATCCCGGACATGGGCGAGAAGGACTCTCTATTCTCGTTCGTGGATGGCCTCGCAGGATGGGCCAAGATGGAGTTACAAAGGCTTGGCGTCCAGACTCTTGCCCAAACAATGCAAGTAGCCGAGTCGCTGATCGAGTTCAAGAAGGTGAACAATTCGTCCAAGCTAAAGGATAAGAAGGGTACACCTAATAAAGGTGGAGGAGAGAAGGATAAGCCACCCAAAGAGTTCCCACCTAAGTCAACGTCTGAGAAGGGTAAGTCCTATGACAATTCTAAAGGAGGTGATCGTTCAAAGAAGTTGGCATGCTACTTCTGCAGCGGTCCACATAAGGCTATGGACTGTCCCAAGAGGGACAATCTTGCGACCCTAGTTCAGAAGGAAGAGGAGAAGCAAAATGAGGAGACCCGAATCAATTTACTTCGTCTCCTCAATGCAATCAAGGCAAAAGTGGATGAAAGACCCCGGGGGGCGATGTTCATCGAGATAACCATTTCCGGTAAAACCTTCAAGGCCCTTCTAGATACTGGTGCTTCTCATCTCTTGGTTTCTCGTGATGTTGCTAGTAGGTTGAATCTTAAGATCACCAAGGGAGAGGGTGTCATCAAAGCTGTCAATTCAAGTCCCACTCCCATCACTGGGGTGACTCAGAAGGTAGATGTAAGCATCGGAGAATGGTGCGGTTAAGAAGACTTGACGGTCGTGACCATGGACGACTTGGACGTAGTACTTGGCTTGAAATTTTTAGACAAGGTAAAGGCCGTGTTGGTTCCATACACCAACACAATATGCATCCTAGAGGGCAAGGCGTGCACAGTTTCGATCAAGCACGAGAGTGTGACTTCTAAAATGCTCTCGTCCTTACAAGTGTTCAAGGGCGTCCGTCGACATGAGCCAACTTTTATTGCTACAGTGATGGTGGAGAAAGACTCACACCAAGGAGAAGATGTGCCCGAGAAAATCCAAAGTGTCTTGGAGGAGTACCAAGACATCATGCCTGCCAAGTTGCCTAGTACGCTCCCACCTAGGAGAGAGGTGGATCATAAGATCGAGCTCGAGTCTGGAGCTCGTCCCCCAGCCATGGGTCCTTATCGCATAGCACCGTCGGAGTTGGAGGAACTTCGAAAACAATTAAAGCAGTTGTTGGATGCCGGATACATTCGTCCGTCCAAAGCTCCATATGGTGCCCCAGTGTTGTTCCAAAAGAAGCATGATGGGTCATTGCGGCTATGCATCGACTACCGGGCATTAAACAAGATCACGGTGAAGAACAAGTATCCAACTCCTCTGATTGCGGACTTATTTGACAGATTGAGGCAGGCAAGATACTTCACTAAGCTCGACTTGCGCTCGAGATACTATCAAGTGTGGATTGCTGAAGGAGATGAACCAAAGACGACATGTGTAACCAGGTACGGCTGTTATGAATTCCTGGTTATGCCGTTCGGTCTCATCAATGCTCCAGCTACATTCTGCACCATGATGAACAAAGTGTTGGAGTCTTTCCTAGACCATTTCGTGGTGGTCTACTTGGACGACATTATGATCTATAGTCAAACCATGGACGAGCATGTGGAACACTTAAGGCAGGTATTCCAGGCACTTAGAAGTAATAAGCTCTATGTGAAGAGAGAAAAGCGCTCGTTCGCACAGGAGGAGGTGGTCTTCTTAGGCCACATCATTGGAGGAGGCAAAATTCGCATGGATCAAGCTAAGGTACGAGTCATACTAGAGTGGGAGCCTCCTACCAAGGTGACAGAGCTGCGATCATTTCTGGGCTTAGTGAACTACTACCAAAGATTCATAAAGAACTACTCAGCATTAGCGGCTCCACTAACAGACTTGTTGAAGAAAAATCAGGCATGGGATTGGAGTTCAAAATGCTAGAGGGCATTCGAATCTTTGAAGAGAGCTGTGACAGAGGAACCAGTTCTTGCTCTTCACAACTTCAGCAAGCCCTATGAAGTGCACACTGATGCGAGTGACTTCGCAATTGGAGGGGTATTGATGTAAGAAGGACACCCCGTAGCCTACGAGAGTCGAAAGTTAAACGACACCGAGAGGCGGTACACCGTTCAAGAGAAGGAGATGACGGTCGTGGTCCACTATCTCAGAGTTTGGAGGCATTACCTACTTGGGTCCAAATTCGTAGTGAAGACAGACAATGTGGCCACCAGCTATTTCCAGACTCAAAAGAAGTTATCTCCTAAGCAGGCACGATGGCAAGATTTCTTGGCAGAGTTTGACTATGTGCTCGAGTACAAACCGGGAAAAATCAACTTAGTGGCAGATGCGTTAAGCCGGAAGACGGAACTTGCTGCTATGATAAGTCATCCTCAGAGCACCTTACTTGATCGTATTAAGGAAGGTTTGTCTCATGATCCTACAGTCAAAAACATGGTGGACTACACAAAAGAAGGCAAGACTCGAAGGTTCTGGCTAGAAGGAGACCTGCTTTATACCAAAGGGAGACCGGTGTACATGCCATTGTTTGGGAATCTAAGGCGGGAGATCCTTAAAGAATGTCATGACTCTCAATGGGCGGGACATCCAGGTGTGCACAGAACTCTAGCTCTTGTGGAAGATACGTATTATTGGCCTCGCATAAGGGATGATGTTGAGGCCTACGTGAAGACTTGTCTTGTGTGCCAACAAGACAAGACAGAGCAGAGAACGCCAGCTGGACTGTTAGAACCATTACCTATTCTGGAGCGACATTGGGAAAGCATTTCCATAGACTTCATCATGAGTCTACCCAAGTCAGATGGATGTAGCATTCTTATGGTGGTGGCTGACCGGTTCTCTAAATACGGCACTTTCATTCCAGCCCTAGCTAAGTGTCCAGCCGAGGTAGCGGCACCACTATTTCTGAAGCACATGGTGAAGTATTGGGGGCTACCAAAGTCCATCATAAGCGATCGGGATGACCGCTTCACAAGAAGGTTCTAGACAGAACTCTTCAAACTTATGGGGTCATATCTAAACTTCTCCACTAGCTTCCATCTCAGACAGATGGCCAGACGAAGCGGGTAAATGGCTTGTTGGAGGTATACTTGAGATACTATGTGCGTGCCAACCAGCAGGATTGGGCGAAGCTACTGGACATAGCCCAATTCTCCTACAATTTGCAAAGAAGTGAGTCTACCGGGAGGAACCCATTCGAGATCGTCACGGGTCAGCAACCACTCACTCCTAATGGTATTGCTACAGGTTATAAGGGAAATAGCCCAGCCGCTTACCGATTTGCCAAGGGGTGGCAAGATCAGAACGAATTGGCACGCTCGTGCTTGAACAAGGCGGTAAAGAAGATGAAGAAATGGGCCGACAAGAAGCGAAGGCATATGGAGTATCAAGTTGGAGACTTGATCCTGGTCAGGCTTTCTACATTGGATCGACATAAAGGGCTACACAAGAGCTTGATACGCAAGTATGAGGGCCTATTTCCGATCGAGAAGAAAGTGGGGAACATAGCTTACAGGGTAAAGCTTCCTCCAACCGTGAAGTACCATCCGGTCTTCCATGTGAGTATGTTGAAGCCATATCATCAGGATGCGGAAGATCCAGATAGAGGAAAGTCTAGTCGAGCGCCAACAGGAATTCGCATGGAGTTCGACAAGGAGGCCGAAAAAATTCTTGCAGATAGGACGGTTCGTGAAGCCAACAACCACCCGAGGTTAAAGTACTTTGTGAAGTGGAAAGGCTTACCCGATAGTGAGAACAGTTGGGAACCGACGCGATCCTTATGGCAGTTTGAAGACTTGATCGAGAAGTTTCGCCAGGAGAAGACTAAGCGATGAGGGGATCGCTGGGATAGGTGGGGGAGAATGTCACGAACCGTCCCATTTTGGCTCAATTGAGTGCATTTGGACTCACTTATTCATGGTTGGGTCCATGAAGATCCTAGAGTTTTCTAGAGTTTTCTTGCATAATTAAAGCTATGATAAATATCTTGTATCTAGAAGCTTCTAGGAAAATCCCATGTAAATATCTAGGGAGATATTTTAGGAGAAGTGTCTAGAGACTCAATCCTAACCATTGATTGTAAGAACAATCTAGAAGGCTAATCATAGTCATTCATTGTAAGCTAGCTTTGCCTATAAATAGGGGGTTAAGACATTCTATTTGTATCAAGCAAGAGTTGCTAAGTAATAAGTAATAAGAGCTTCCATTTCCACTCTTGAATGTTCTGTCTTATTTTTTGAGTGGGTGTTTGAGGGATTAGGCTAACTTAGCCATTCTAGTGAGGAAAAGAGTGACTAGTTTGTTCGTGCACCATTCCCTTATCCCTCACTATATAACATCCCAACTCCTCAACCAAAAGTGATTCTTTTATCCTTCTCATTCATGCGATAGCTCCCCGTCTCTCCGGCGAAAGCCCTAGAATCCTCCACCTCCGCTTCAAAGAAACCCTAATCCTACCGCTCAATCAACTCAACTGCCGATGGGCGGCGACGGAGCGCCGGCGATGGGAGCAGCGGCCGAGGGGCAGTACGTGAAGGCCAAGACCGCAGTTTGGTGGGATATTGAGAACTGTCAAGTTCCTCGATCTTGCGATCCCCACCTGATCGCCCAGAATATAAGCTCCGCGTTGGCGGCCATGGATTATAAAGGGCCGGTGACGATCTCGGCGTACGGGGACACGAGCAATATCCAGAAGGCGGCTCAGCAGGCGCTCTCCAGTACTGGGATCTCCCTCAATCATGTTCCTGCTGGTATAAGATCCTAAACTTGAAACCCTATTTTCAAGCAATTAATTGATTTTTCAGTGTAATCGGTTTGGTTTAGGGTTTTGGAACGGTTTGATGGTGAAAAAAAAAGTAGATCTAACTGTAAAATTATTTCTGTCATTTATATGAACTGCAGTTTGTGGTGATCTATTTTTGAATAAGTTGTATAAGCTATCTATGTTGTTTCATGCATAATTCTTCGATTATGATGTTGCAATTTATGTGTTTGACATTTGAGGCTGCATGCATTCCTCACGGATTTCTCTGTTTTTATTTGACATTCTCAATCCACTTTTCAGTCCGAAATGTTCCGGATGGAAAGGCCTTGTTGTTTTTATTGTAGTAATTTTTCTGTTTAAATAATTGATCCTGCTAGTGGGAGAGTATTTTACAATCTTTTCATTCTCACTGGATGATGGACAGCGCTTTCCTACTCATAGGAAAAAGAATATATATGCCCTGCTGAGCACCATCAGAAGAGTTTGCTACGAGTACCTTTTCTTAGGCTTTGATCTTCAGATATCTTTATATAAATGGCATAAAAACCAAGGACTCATGGAGTCATTGGATGATATACCCAATAATGTTTTTACCAAAAATTTGGATCCTTTCTTTTAGTACAACATTTGTCTAGCATTTTTGTGGCTAATATAATGTTTTTACCAAAAATTTGGATCCTTTCTTTTAGTACAACATTTGTCTAGCATTTTTGTGGCTAATGCCAGTCTCTTTGGTTTTGATGTCATGATATTGATCTGGATCTCCCTTCGTTATCTTACAATTGTCAGTTAAATGTAGTAGGATGAAATGCTAAGTGGAGACAAGCGAGTGTTTGTATTTGTTTTGATTGCCAAGGCAATTTTTCTTAGGGCTTGCTGATTCTTGAGAGCTGGTTTAGATCAAACTCCATACTATTATTGTATATGCTATTTCTTATCGGATTCAACAATCCTTTTTAGCTGTCACCCAAGTTACTGTATTTATTTCTCCAACTACAGCCATGTATTTTTATTCAATAGCATAGGTGGTAGTGTACGCTTGTTGGCAGAGAGGTAAGATTAGGCAAGTGTTTTTCCTTGTGTTTAATATTCAAATTCTAGACGTTGATAGAGAAGCAAACTATGCAAACTATAATTACTTGTTAAATATTGTTAAGGTATACCATGCTTCAGTATGATAATTCTAAGCTCAGTATGTGGCTTGTATTATTCAGAATTAGAATGACTCATCTCTTTTTATCTTCAATCATTTTTACCATATTAAATTCTTAATTAAAACTGTAATTAAGTTGCAGCAAATTAGTATCTAAAATACTGATGTCACTACTTTGCAGGTATCTTTTTAGTGCCTAGTTTACATCTTAAGTTCACTCACTGTCCTTTTAGGGCGTGTTTGGATTTCAATGGGGTTAAGGGAAGTTAAGGGAAGCTAGGTGAGAGAAGAGAAGGGAAGGGAAGGGAGTTCCCTTCCCCTTGGTTACACCCTAATTTGGGGGGTAACAAATTTTATACTATTAAGGGGTGAACTAAGGGGAACTAGGGTGAATAACTTCACCTCCTAAGTGTTCCCAAACAAGGTGAATGGTTCCCCTAACTTCTCCCTTATTCCCCTCAATCCAAACAAGCCCTTAGTGATCTAACTTCACTGGTCTTTGACATCTGGTCATCACATAAGACATCAAGTATATAATAATATATAGGAGGACAAGGGATCTAATGCCATTTTCCATTTGTGTTTGTTGTCGATAATAAAATTTCATAGTTCATCGCTCTCTTAATGACCCATAGGTTGGTTTAATCTCTTACTAGTAGCTCTCTGTTCTTGTACATTACATATGAGGGCTTGCTCTGCTGCCTTATATAGAAGGTTCTTGTTTGCCAGCAGAACCTCATTGACCAATGCACTAACCAAGGAGAAAGTCAGGAGTTTCGACATTCAAGAGGGCCTAATCTTTTTTATTTGTATGATTGCTTTGCGCAAATTTTAGATCTTCCTTTTATATTTTGCTACATATTTCTTGGGTAGTCTAGAGCCTTTTCCAGTATTTTGATAAATTTACCTAAATGCAGGTGTGAAAGATGCAAGTGATAAGAAAATTTTGGTGGACATGTTGTTTTGGGCAGTGGATAATCCGCCTCCGGCAAATTATCTTCTTATTTCTGGTGATCGGGACTTCTCTAATGCCCTCCATCAACTAAGGATGAGGAGATATAATATTCTATTGGCACAGCCTGTTAATGTATCCCAAGCTCTGGTTTCAGCTGCAAAGAACGTTTGGCTATGGGCTAGCCTTCTGAGTGGTGGCCCACCATTGCTAGAGTCCCCCCAGCTTCATAACGCATCAAGTAGTAGCAGGTCAAATGTGGAGACACCTGCCCGCAGCATACCAGACGCTTCACAGTCTACTGATTCTAATCAAAAGAATCATGGTAATGGGAAGGTTGATAACCGGAATAAAGTCAAGCAGAACCGAAAGACTCAGAGCCAGCCGAATCCTAATATATCTAGAACAACCTCCAATGGAAGTCAAGAACGTCGTCAACCCAATGCAAGTTCTAATGCGTCCAGTCCCAAACAGAACAATTGTGTGAAACAGCCAAATCATGCATCTGCTTCCACAGTATCAGGTCTGGGAGCACAAGAAAGTGCTCGTATGAACAATGGTAGACCATTCTGTTCGTTTCCACTCTCTTCACCTCAAATACTACCGGACTCTAGTAGGTCTAATACACCAAGTGGATCTGCATGCAGTTATATTCAACCTCGCCCTGATATACCCATGAACGATGGAAATAACTTCCCTAACCCGCATCACGTGCAATATTCTCCGTCACCAATGCCTAGTGACCTCTTGCATCCTCAAACAAATCTTCAACCTTGGAATTTGAATTTGTCTGAATCAAATTCCACGCACAACTCTTTTCCTCTGTCGTCTGGGACCTATGGTCCATCCTTTTCTACAGCACCTACAACCAGGCCAAATGGTCTGTCCTTTTCTGCATCACCTGCAAGGCCACTTTACGCCCATCCTAATGGCCAGCTGTTTACTTACCTACCTGATATGAGTAGGATTGATATTTCAGAATATCCTAATGGTGTGCATCAAAATATGCCTCCATTTTATGACAACAACATGCATACATCTATTCCTTCCATAAATAGTAATGCAGCCAACAATGTATTCTCGAGTACCTTTGAACGCCCAGAACCATCTCATGCTGCCCAGGCCATGATAGGGGTTATTTTAGGAACCTTACAAATATTAAAGACTGAAAAATTGGCTCCCACTGAAGCTAATGTAGCAGATTGCATACACTACGGAGATATGAAACTCAAAACCTTTAACGTTAGAATGGCCCTGGATAATGCTAGTGAGCATCAGGCTGTTTTGGTGCACAAACTAGGAAACAACTTGCCTCTTTATGTTGCAAAGACTGATACACTTTGGAAGTGGATTAATATCCTGGATAACAATGCTAAGCATTCTAAAGCAAAATATGATGCACTTCTAAAATTCTTGTTGTCTGCTGATGGACGAGCTGCAATATTAAGCTCAGAATGCAGGTATTATGCAATTTCAACCCTTCCTACTTTACATTTTTATCCATTTAGGTGATATTTGTTGCTGAAGTTACTTGGTTCTTGGATAGGTATCAAGCTGCTGTTATCCTCAGAAGGTCATGTTTGAAAAACCTTGTCCTTGGCAAGATACTGCAGATTTTGCATCTAATAGTCCATGTCAGAAAGTGGATTGTGCCGGATGCTTCTGGATGGCAGCCCTTATGTCTAACCCTTCCATCGGATTCAAATGCAAACGTCAATGAAAGCACTAGCTCTTGATATCACACTGCTGCTGGTACATACAGGGGAAGATAAAACTTCTAGTAGTACTATGGGAGTAGATAAACTGGGCAGAGTAACTTCTAGTAGTACTAGTAGTACTAGGGGAGTAGATAAAGTGGACGGAGGGCACTGGAGTCGCAGGCGATACGATATCTAGACATGGATGTGCATATGTCCACGCATATGTTAGTTTTTTTCAAGTACAGTAGCAGTGAAGTAGTTTATAAATGGCATGGTGAAGGCTTGTGTCGGAGGTTTCGAGTGACGAGAAAGCTTCTAGTAGTAATTTTTGAAATGACATGAAGGCTGAAGAATGCTTATGAGGAATTGATTTGAGTATTGTAACATCACCTATAAGGTTATTGGCATCCAAGATTGAATAGAAGTATCGCCGTATCGGATTACTATATATCATGAAGGATGGGGTTAACTGGCTATTGGCATCCAAGATTGAGTAGAAGTATCGGTTTACTATACATCATGAAGGATGGGGTTAACTGGCATCTGCAAGCGGTGAAGAAAGGTTTACTTAATTTCACTTTCAGTGAAAGCTACGTGTCATTATATATAAGGTCTATTTGGATGATGGGAACTGTTTCTGTGTTTGGGCTTTAGAAGAACCTGAGCTTAATGTTGTGTAAGGTCTATTTGGATGATGGGAACTGTTTCTGTGTTTGGGCTTTAGAAGAACCTGAGCTTAATGTTGTGTGCAGATGTGGATTTTGGCATCACTTTCTTCTGTGTTTGGGCTTTAGAAGAACCTGAGCTTAATGTTGTGTGCAGATGTGGATTTTGGCATCACTTTCATGCTTGATCTCTACGCATCTCCTGCTTGCAACTAGCTGCCCACTTGAGGTTCTGGGAATACTAACTTTTAGCAGCAACCCGAGTAGTATTATGGGTATCGGGATGCTGGTCAATGCTGTGGTGAGTTTGGGATATTCAGAGGACATCTCAGACACTTCCACGTCCATACTTTATCTAGTATTGTGAATTAGATTCGTCTCTATGGCTTCGTTTGAAGGACCTACTTCTGTAGCTACTGTTGTTATATGAGGTTTTCATGGGGTGATGTGTATAACGTATTCAAGATTTGAATGCTTTGAATAGCATTGTTATTCTGGTACTAACAGTTTCTTGCATGTATGAAAGTGTTTTGAGTGTTATTCCCTAGCGTAAAACCCAGTTTCATGGAATTTGCTTGTTCTGTCGGCTTCCATGCCTTCGCTTAAAGGTCGGCATTTCAAATTCCATTGTTCTTGCAGTATTGATGCCTTCGTACAGGCTCCTTATCTGTGAAACTGAGGTTTCCTTCGCCTTGAAGATAAGGCGCTTTATTCCCTCTTGTATTTTAATAATCGTGATCCTTCTTGAAACTTTTTGCCTTTTTGTCAATTAGTTAAGTTTGAGTTTTAATGTGGAGGTAGCCTGACCCTAGAAGGCTGCAGATAAAAAGATTCTTCTTCTTTAACTAAAGCAGCAATCCATCACAGATCGCGTTCCCATCGCGAGAACAGAATCAAACTATGACAACAATAGCGTGTTGGCCGCTAAAAACATCAATCGGCTTAAATCGAAGTCAAAAGATCAATAATCTATGAATGGGTGGTAAATCGTGGTAAAACGATTTGATGAAGCCACGGAAAGCATATGTTCTCAAAACCAAACACTTAACTATGGCAGTAGCATTCGGTAGAATTCTGTATGAGAGTGCTCGTGAAGACATTGGATGCATATTTTTAAAAGTTCCGCTCAAGCACTCTTTTAACTTGGAAAAAGACCTCCATAAGATGAAACTTCGTATATAAACAACTTGCCAATCTATCATATCACTGAACCTGAATGATTTATACAAGGCACAGAAGCACCTTTTAAGTAATGCGATTATATTGGGTCCGCTGCTGTATAACATTACATCCCCACCCACCAAGCATGATACACCAGAAACACTGAGCTTTAACTTGACAAATTCGATTGTACTACATATTTTCAGTTGGAGGTGTGAATTTTCATCACAGCTTCATATCACATGATGGTAGCTTGGCCTTTCATTTTACGTGCATATACTTCTTTCACAGTAACAAGTGAACATTCTGTAAATGCGGTTTATTCATGGAAGAAATGGATTATCCGAGGGATTTGCCTGCTTTTGCCTCTGGTACGCCCTAAAGAAAGATGAACAAGCTCATTGCGAGTTATTATAACAGATGATGGAAATAAAAATATGTTGTTGCAAGAGCTGGAGGATCTCGCTCACCTTGAAGCGTTTAGTCCCCCAAAGGAAATTGTGCCCAACATTAGGAGGAGAAATGGAGCTTTAATCAAAGATTTGTTGCTACTTCTATAAGATCCTGGGACACCAGTTCTTACCACTCGTACATATGTACCTGTCAGCTATGTATTATTATTATTATTATTACCTGGGACACCAGTTCTTACCACTCGTACATATGTACCTGTCAGCTATGTATTATTATTATTATTATTAGTTTTAACTGAAGGCTAAGGATGTGCAGGGAAAACACAGTATATCAAACAGAAAGCATAGAGGTTACCTTCCGATGGCCTTCCAAATTTTACACCTGTGACATCCAAGCATAGGATTGTTATTAGTTATCATTGTTTCAACATTAAGTTTTACTTTTGTCTCTTCCAGGAATGAAGCCCCGTTTTCCCCTTCATCTTTCCATTAAGCACCGTTATAAATACATAGGGAATGGATAATGATTATAAATGAAAAATGCTACGCTAAAGCATCCTAAAACTGTAAGCTCGTATAAATCACTTCTGATTACAGCTATTCATGGTGAGTGATAAATACCAAGCCAAATAATAATCCCATATGCTAGAAGGATCACATAAGAAGATGATGTCCTTCGGTCTCACTAGCCAAGATAGTGCCCTATTTAGCATGGGGAGTTTGCAAACCATAGGTGTGGAACTTAAACATAGTGAATGAGATAGAGAAAACTTACCAGCCTGCAGAGATGAATATGCTTCTGATATCTGTAACAAATAAGTTTATAATAGTTAGATAGCTGAAGTCAGTACGGAACTATATACACATGTTTAACATTTTAAAGTTAAGTATCAATACATCTGGGTTGAGTTACCACATTTTATGATTTCTGTGCATGTGCACTAGTTACTCCAATAGTGTCAAGTATGTAAACCTATTCTGATCAGTTATTCTTTCCAAAACTATCAAAGAAATAACATTCACAATGATTTATATATTCATTTCTGTCACATTTTTAGCTCGCCATGGTAAAAAAATTCAACAATAGTTATAAGTCAAGTAATTACATTGAGGTATATTGATGCACATATATGTATAAGTATGCTGCATGTTTTTAGCACCTTCTTTCTTTCGTCACCATCTTTTCTTAATTTCAACTTTTATTTCTATTATTTGGTCCTTTCACTTTTGACTTTATTTAGTTTTACTTTTTCCCTTCATTTTAGTCTTTACATATTGTTGTGTGTGTGTGCGCGCGGGCGTGTGTTATATTGTTGTCATGAAGAGTTCTTGAAGGAACTAAGAAGAATACTATAGACATGTCAAGATACTAATAGAAGAATTAAGAAAAAGAAAGGAACATTGTGTGTGATGATCATGCAAGAAACAGTTGATAAAACCATCAACCTAGATTTATAAGTAATAATACAATAAACACACTCTGGAACATAGTACCCATCATTTCCTCTAGTCAGATATTTTAAATGAAATTTCAAATTCTCTCTCAATGGACTAGCATCAAGGAGTACAAAGATCTCCTGAGCTTTTAAAAATAAAATTGTACCTGTTTAAATCTAGATTCAGCTTGAGCTTTCTCATGACATGGAAATCGGTCAGGATGAGACTCTAACACTTTCTTTCTGTATGCTGCCTTAATCTGCATTATAGGTAAAAATAGAAATGTCTAAGCCACTGTACTGTTAAGAAAAAAGAGTGCTTTCTAAACATTGACTAGACCAACTGACCAAGAAAGTTATTTACTGTCACAGAGACAACAAAAAAACTAATGAGAATACCATAAAAACCATAATTGATAATAAAATACAAAGCATTGTTAAAAGGGAAAATTTGCAAAATAGACCTATTTTGCTAAATATTTAGCAAAACATACCGTTTTGCTAAATATTTAGCAAAATAGACCTGTTTTTGGCCTGTTGGCCAAAAAGAGGTCGATTTTGCTAAACAGACCATTCGAAACATACGGGACTAGTAGTCTCATATGATTTAATAGGGTATTAAATCATTAATAGGGTATTAAATCATACGGGACTACTAGTCCCGTATGTTTCGAATGGTCTGTTTTGCAAAATCGACCTCTTTTTGACTTGTTGGCTAAAAAGAGGTCTATTTTGCTAAATATTTAGCAAAACGGTCTGTTTTGCTAAATATTTAGCAAAATAGGTCTATTTTGCAAATTTCTTCTTGTTAAAATTCTTGGTTTTTTGGGGGTGGAAGAGTAACTGATTTTCTGTGCAATTTTAATAGCTATAAAGTCATGAATGAGGCTTCAATTAACAAACTTCTGTTTGAGATTTGATTGGGCTCAGCCCACCTCTATCAGGTCCCAATCTCATGGCAGCTGTGTATGCTACCTACATCCTTCAGCTTCTCAACAATCAGATGAAGATTTTGTTACCAAGCTCCTTCACCCGTCCACTTTGTTGCATGAGTACTAGTACGGGTGCGGGTACCAGTATGGGCATTGGACACAACAAATTTGCAAAAGGTTGACACAACGAATTTGCAAAAGGTAGGGTACAGGGACACTACTATATAAATATTTATATACACATATATTATTTATTGGAATTAATAATTTATATGACGTAGCATCACCCAATTCGCTTCTAGAATGTGAGCCCTCTGGGCCTCATGGTCATGGAGAAAGCTAAGGATCCCGCTTCTATTGCTATCCTTAAGATTTCCGCTGTTATGGCATTATCTGTTCCTTTTGGGTGACTTGAATGATTTGTAAGGATATTTGACAAGCATCAAGCATAGATTTTTCCATGTTAAATTCTGGTAAGCAAGCTTGGATTAACTCCCTTGTATTGTTTCTCTTCCTATTAGCTCCCTTTTGTGTTTTCATAGCCCCTTACCCCGCCGCCCCCCCCCCCCCCCCACACACAGCACAAAAAAAACAACAACACCCACCCACCTTTTTGCTCCGCCAAACTTTTTTTGTCCCGATAAGCCTGTAATGTTTCAAGTAATTTTGAGTAAATTCTCCAATAAAGATTTTATTTCTTGAATTGGTATCTTTTATAAGCAATAAAGTATTTAGCCACAACAATTCCAAAAAATTCATCACAGAACTACATCAAATTTAAGAAATAACCCTCTATTACGAAAATATCCTGCAAAGTTCAAATCTTTGGTGCTTTCCCATCAGTAAACGCACAAGAAATTCTAACCCTAGTTCCATATCTATTTGAACTGATCGAGTTGGAGTAAGTCTCGAATTTCAAAAAAAATCCAAAATTTTTAAAAACGAAATTGATTAGAGAACTCTGTAATTACCTGAGAAAGTGAAGGGCGAGAATGGGGAGAAAACCCTAGAAGCTTTCTCGCCTCAGCAACCTGCATTTCTTACCTCTAGATTTCTCCCGCATTCGAGCATTCAATGGACTCTTCTTATGCAAGTAAAACATTTTCCAAAATCAATACCCTACATCTTTCATATTTTGAAATCAGTCCCCCCAACTTTTCATATTTTGAAATTAGTTCCTCAAATCTTTAGGTGTTTTAAAATCAAATCTTCATACTTTAAGGGCTTGTTTGGATTGAGGGGAATGAGGGTGAAGGGAATTTAGGGGAACCATTCACCTCCATTCATCTTGTTTGGGAACACTTAGGAGGTGAAGTTTATTCACCCTAGTTCTCCTTGGTTCACCCCCTAATAGTATAAAATTTGTTACCCCCCAAATTGGGGTGTAACCAAGGGGAAGGGAACTCCAAGGGGAAGGAAACTCCCTTCCCTTCTCTTCCCTTCTCTCAGTTTCCCTTAACTTCCCTTCACCCCCTACAAATCCAAACAGGCCCTAAAATTAGTCTACAAACTATGTTATAAGCGTTTCAAGATTAGTTCTCAAAATCTCCTAACTTGGTGCTAACTAGAGAGCACTAATTTCAATAGACATGAAAGATTTGAGGGAGACTAATTTTAGAGATCAATTTCAAAACACTTAAAGACTTGGATAATATATATGCCGACATAAACATACACATGAGAAAACTAGATGATATTGAAAAAGAATAAAATATAATTTATACGATACGAGCCAATTCATTAATATATTCAATTTATCTTAAAAGCTAATGTTAGATCTCTTTATCGACAAAATTAACCTCAAATTTGTTGATCTAAGGATCAAAACAATTGCAACTCTATGACAAGCAAATATTTGGATATTTTGTATACAAATCCAAATATATTACTATCTATAATCATACCTTGTTGAGTACACATATTTAGTAATCATGTCTTCATTGTAACAGATGCGGATGTAGATATATTTGCGAATATGAATATTTTTCTCCATCCTTATGTTAGAGTATTATATCTCCCTTTAAAAGTGAGAGTTTAGGTAAATCTTTCCACGAATTAATATTCGCATCACACTTTTAGATATTATATTCTAATCTTATTCCAAGCAATATTTTCAATTTTTCTTTACCTCAGTTCTAAATTTTTATTTTATATAAATTAATTTTTGTTCAAATTGATTGTCTCTCTTTTTTCTGAATAAAAATAAAAAAAATAAAACCGGCGATAACAACAAATGTATCCATTCCCTCATAGCTTTTATGAAATAAGGCTTTAATCTCTAATTAAGTTTTCTTAGGCTTTTATGGACAAAGAATAAAGAAATCACAACTCTAATTTTATTCCCTCTGCTTTACTTTCTCTCCCATCTTTTGGTTTTATTTTATTTTATTTTTAAAACCTAACTCATAATTTAGAACATCTTCATAGGCATATTTCAGATTCTATCGGAGTATCCCCATAGAATAAATTGATCTACACCATTCATGGATGATCAGGGGTTATTTTAAAAAAACTTTACCGCTTCTATCTATATTATAAAAGCGTCATTCCTATAAAGATGGTTCTTATAGGATTTTTATTTTCAAGATATGGAGAGGAAGGGCATTATATTACAACATGCATAATACATATACGCTTCTTAGTTTCTACTCCAACTAGAATACAAAAAGTTCTTTACGAACTTTTTGAATGTCAAAGTTACTCATGATTATACCTTCCTTCTTATTTTTTTCCCTTCCATTGTTCAAGGATAATAATCTTTCATTTTCATCTTTTTATTTTTCAAGAATTTTTTTTATGCATATGATAGTTACGAAAATAGTGACATGATGAAATAGTTAAATACCGAGGGGAAAAAAACAAAAACAAAACTTCTCAAGGAAACATGTATAACATTTGAAAACCAATGTCATTTACAAAATTCCTTTTGCACCCCACCCCCAACGAAACATGTATAACGTTTGAAAAACAATGACATTTACCAATTCTCTTTTCTTTCTTTTTTTTTCCTTTTCTTTTCCAGTGTGTTATTTCCAAAAACAAATTTAAAAAAGAAAGAGATAACGGAGGTTAAGATTAAGAAAGTAAAGTTAAGTTAATTTAGAATAAATAAGAACAGATCATATCATATCATACTCTCTTTAAAAGAGTCAGTTGTGGAAAAAATTTCCAATGACTATATTACCACTATTCTCTTTTGATATTACATTCTAAAAATAACTAAACTAAATTAATTATTATTGTTAACTAATTATATTATATGTCACTTTAAGTTTGCATAATTTGGTTATTATAAAACTCTATACCATATTAATTATTAGTAATGTATAATAATATATTAATAGATAATTGCATGTCAATAAAGTATTTATGAAAGGAGTAGAAAACATAGAATTATCCTAAAATTATATCGTGAAACTTATATAGGAAAATTACAAAGAGCATTATTATGTTAGGTAACAAGACAGAAGGTAAAAACATTAAATTTTAAAAAGCATTAGGATATTTAAGTGCATCAAGATACATTATCTATTTTTTTTTAAGTGTAGCAAGATACAAGTGGAGATATATAAGTATAATTTTGGTAAACTACAAGGTATTTCAGTTCAATTAAGCCTTCAAAAGATTTGAAACCTTTGTTATCCACAAACAATAGTACATGATCTCATTGATAAATAATATTCATCATACAATATAAGGCAATATGCTTAGCTTATATTTATATAGTAGATGAGATGTGGAAAAATTAAAGCATCATATTTTGAATGAGTCTCAAGATTTTAAATTATTTCCTGAAATTATATACTTCGCTTAGAAAACTTTAGAATAAGCTTTTGAAAGATTACTACAAAGTGTTGGACATCAAATAAATATTAAAAAAATAAATTCCATGATATCGAGTTGTAAAAATCAGGGATATATATGTAATACTAGGTGTCATATGAGATAATATTCATACATAACATGACATTATAATATGTAATCTAACATACTAATGAATTTTAAATATAAGAATATGCATCAAGATATATGCTTAAGATTTGGGAGAGCCTAGAGTGGAGAGATTTGTGAGGAGAATTGTGGCATTTGTGGGTTTTACGGGTTCCGATTTTGTTTCCCAAACACGATCCAAACCCCAGCCCACAATCAAATTAAAAATGACATTATTTTCTTGATATATCTTCAAAGGGATATATCGGCCATATTTTCTATAACGGTCGATATATCAAAAAAATCAACAAACAAAAAAAAATATAAAATATTACCGAGATAAAGTCTTTAACTCGATATATTAGCCTTATAGCAATATATTGGTCGATATTTAATAGAATGTCAATAAGAGCAAATATGGAAATGTTATTTAGATATTAATTTCTTGATTTTAAATATCCAACGATTCCATCTTATTCCCACAAATTTTTAAAATTGCTCATAATTTTAGAAACTATTATTAAATTATTAAAATTTTGAGGGACAAATTATAGATAAGTCATATTTAAAAGAAGTGTTAATTTTTTAAAAAATCTTCTCAACTATGGGGATTGTCTTAAAAAAAACACACTCAATTGATTCAATTTGACAAAACCCCTCATTATATGGGGTGTTATAGATAACCCCTCTCAATTTTGGTGCAATTTTAGAAAACATCTCTCAACTATAACGTATCTCATAAAAACTCTCCTAATCTTTTACACTTCTATCAATAAACCCCCTTAACATAGTTACTTCGATATGTGTTTTGGACAAAATAACCTCTTAAAGAAACAATTTAATTAAAAAAATCCTCAACCGATAATAAAAGGATCACAACCAATTTATAATTCTTTTTTTCTCTATATCACCTCTTTTATCTGGCAAAAGCCAATGTAATTCTTTTATGATTAATTGATATTTTGGTCTTTCCAAGTCAAGTACTTGTCACATAATAGATAAGACTCAATGATGTTAGTTTTGAGAGGTTAGGTTTAATTGAGAAAAGTTCACTGGGGTTAAATTAGTTTTTTTTAAGTTAAGATAGATTATCTACAAAACACCCAAAACTTGGCGGAGTTTTACTCAGTCTTAAATAGTTTTCTCGAGGGGTTGTCATGCCCTCCATAGTTGAGGGGAAGTTTTCTAAAATTAACTCTTAAATAAAAGCACAACTTAAGGCATATGTGATATCAATTTTATAAGAGTGGAGTTTATAGCAAGTCTATCACTCAATGAACAGGTTTGAGTTATATGTCCTTAAATTTATCCAACACATCAAGTCTAAAATCTTTTACTATAAGAATCTATAAGAGAAATTTAATATTTATTTGGGATGGGTATATGATCCTTCTGATTCCCCTTGTCTTTCATGATTTGTAATAAATTATTTGACAAAGTAAATTAAGTTGTCACTTTATATTGCTCATATTTTTATATGTTTATTAAGCTCATAGCTTGGATATGAGTATTATTGTAGATATTGTATTCTTCTAACTCTTTAAGTTAAAATTTTGGATGTTGTTTGATATTGGATAGATATGAATTATTTTGTTAATATACAATCAATATGAGTGCATAATATGTACAAATAATTCTCAGATTATATTTTGTAATTTTTTGAAAGTAGAGAGTAATTATTTTGACAGATCAATTAGTAGTTGGGAAGATGTAAAAAGAGTACAACATCAGATTTTGGAATTAATCACATAATTTATATTTTATTTCTTGATTGATTTTGGAATATCTATAATACTCGATCGCCAGATAAGCAACATGTGGAAGTAAACAATAGGTGAAAGTGATTTTTTTATAACTGAACAAAATTCTTAATAACTAGATCAAACCCCTACCATTTTCCTTAATGATTTCAAGAATTTATTTTTAATTAATAATAATAGGTTTTTTCCGTATTGATCCCTTACATCATTAATATTTTGAAATTATACATTTAAATTACTAATTAATCTTAAATCATTAATATTTTAAGGCTTTAAACATCACTATTTCTCTAAAAGACAAAATGTTAAAATCACACATTGAAATATCCAAAAAATTTAACATATTATGATAACTATAAAGTTTTTTACAACCATGTTATAGTAAATAAATAAACTTAAAATATATAATTATAATATTTGACCGCATTCAGTGCACGTGCATTCCACCTAGTAAATTT